CATTTACATTTTTAATTTCGCTGGAAGTTCTTTGCTGTTCCTGCTTTAGAAGTCTCTGATATTCATTCCCTGGTAGCTACCATAAACAAATGCTGTGTGAGGTCTGTGCTGCTCTGTTTTAATTCTCATTTGAGGGGGGAAAAAAAAAACCCCTCGGTAAATTCATACTCTGAGAACTCCTCCCAGGGGCTGGTGGGAGCGTGGAGTGACAGGGCGAGGGGGAATGGCTTCAAGCTGAAAGAAAGTAGGTTTGGGTTGGATATACGGAGGAAATTCTTGGCTGGGAGGGTGGGCAGGTCCTGGCACAGGTTGCCCAGAGAAGCTGTGGCTGCCCCTGGATCCCTGGAAGTATCCAAGGCCAGGTTGGAGCAAGCTGAGATAGTGGTGGGTGTCCCTGCCCGTGGCAGGGGGTGGGATGAGAGGACCTTTAATGTCCCTCCCAACCCATTCTAGGATGGCTAGTTGACTGCTCCAAAGCTGGCCACCTTAAGCTGGAACTGAACATGGCTTTGTGCTCATCAGGTTGGAGAGGATGCCCTGCAGTCCCATCCCACTCTCCACCTCAGGATCACAAGACCCAGATTGTCCCTCAGCAGATGTTTTTCCACTTTGATTTTTCTTCTCCTGAACCCCTTGGTGAGCAAATTCCTCGTGCCTTGTACTGAGAATAAGAAACCTCTTGTTCCAAATCATCACTTTTCTCTTCTTTTTTTTTTTTTTTTTTTTGTGCCTGAAGTTGTGGAGCTGCTGTGCATTAGCTCTTATTTTGCATTTCCCTGCCTCTTGCATGGCTTTCTGGGAGCTCCAAGGGCTGCTGGGGGTTACCATGTGCTCACTAAATTACATTGCTTTTGTTGTTTTTGTTGTTGTTGCATTACCAGAGCCAGACTTGGACTGAACCATAGCTGGGGATTTGATTTTCATCCTCCACTGCTGGCATTTTTGCCTACCTGCTTCTAATAATTAATAATATTTACTTTTGTTTCCTTAGCACTTAGACGTGAGCCAAACTACTTTTCTTTCCCCCCGGGTTTTGGCTGATAACTTTAATTTTTAATTAAAAATTCGAGTGTTGTTCATCATCCCCCAATATTCAGGCCACTTCTCAGCTGGAACTTGGGTTTCACTCACAGCCCAAAGCAGGGTTGGTCAGCAGGACCTGGAGATTTGCTGTCCAGGTACTTTTGGGAGCGGCAAACAAACCAGGGATGTGTGGAATGAGCCTCACAGCAATGTGGGCATCACATGCCTTTGGTGTGGGGCACTGTCAATTTGTTTTATCCCTGTGCTCCAGGAGTTGACATCAAAGCAAAGCAGGGAGTGATTTTTTTTTTGTTTGGCAACGAGCTCTTAGGGGGAAAATGGCACCGTGGAATGTCTTAACTTCCAGCAGGAGGAAATAAATAGGCAAGTGAGAGTGCCAAGGTTTTCCAGTGAAAGTTCTGAATCGGGCAGGAATCTTCTCTGGAGCTGCAGCAAGTTGCAAAGAGACATAACAGCTCAGCAGGACTGATTAAGTGTCTGCAACTCTGAGTCTAAGATAGTGCTATAATAAAAGTGACAAATGAGGGAGAGTAGTGTGTCTGCTGGAAACTTAGCATGACTGAGTGAAAAAAATGCACAGGGTAATTTATTGTCAATGAAGAACCATCAGCAGGAGAGAGTGAACCTAATTCATCCCACTTAATTAGGTGTGGGACTTAAACCTTGGTCTTGCACAGCTCCAGCCATGGAGTCATTTGGGCTCTCAGAGGACTTTGACTACAAAACCTTGAAATGAGTTTTAATTGTTGGTTCAAATGGCTGACAGAACAATAACCAAGGAAAACCCTGTGGATCAGCCACGACTGGGAACGTCACCATTATCAGCAGCTTCCAGAGGCTTCACCTGGGTTGTTTTTCTGCAGGTCCAGAGCTATTTTACTGAAAACTGTGGTTCTAAAGATGTTCAAAACAGCCACGTGGGGTGGCACAGCTTTGTGCCACCCTGCCTTGGCAAGTGGGCTTGGACTAAAGGATCTGCAGAGGTCCCTTCCAACCTCGACTGCTGTGGCTGTGCCCACCCAGACTCTCAGCAGACCCTCCAAAACCTGCAGGTAGTTTAACACCCACCCTCCCCAACCCAATAAACAGAGTCCTGCTGCTAACAAAGACACCTCTAGTCGTTCCCCAGGTAGTTTTCCCTTTTCCCAAGCTTTAGATCCACAGAGAGGGGAACAGCAGCACCTCTTGCATGAGTGGCCAGAGAGCACATTTGGAGGGATAAAGCACATTTGGAGGGATAAAGCACAAAGATGATGTTTTTTTTACGGGGCTGGGTGAGGCTGCTGTGCAACAAAGGGATCCCACCACGCTGAGAGAAGGAGAATTCCATGTGATGTAATTCCCAACGTGAAGCTCCAGATAGAACCGGTGTGGTCAGCCTGAGGGGGGGGAGCAGGGAGGAGGGGAAGGGTATCCCAGGCCGAGAATGTTTTTACAAATGAGGGAACAGCATCACAAAAAATGCGCTGGAGCTCTTCCTCCCCTGCCGGCAGAGCCCGGGCTGGGTGTGCAATCCACACGAGCCGGGCTTGTCCTACAAAAATGATTTGTTAGACAAGCAGAGCCGGGGCTGGGAGCAGGGGGAGGTGGAAGGAGTCGGGGCGGAGGGGGAAACCTTGGAATGGATTCAGGAATGACTGATGGGCTCGAGTGAAAATTTTATCCTCCACTACTACCTCGTGGAGGGCGGGGGGGGGGGG